TTTTTAAATTTCTAATGAGTACATTTTAAGACTATTCCTGAAAAAATATTAGAGTAAGACTATTACTTAAAAGAAGGCAAACAAAATAAATAAATAAAATAAATAAATAAAATAAATAAAATAAATAAAATAAATAAAATAAATAAAATAAATAAAATAAATAAAATAAATAAAATAAATAAAAAATTGCTTTCTTCAGTAGTATAATAATAATTTTTTGTAAATGCCTTGTAAATGCAATATAGTGAAGAAGTGTTGAAAAGGCTACGCATATTATATTGTTCAAAAAATGAGAACTTAAGGGGGTGGAGAAATAAGAAATATATTCCATATGTAGAATAAATTGTGGCAGGCTCATTTTAGAAGAGTATTCCACAAGTAAAGGACCTTTATTCCCGCTTCGGATACCGTGTTTATTTTTATTTTCAAGTTTTCTAATTCAAACTGCTATATTTTTTTCTTTCTTCTTCACGCCAATTTTTATGTTTACTTGAAGATGCGTTCCCTTTTTACTTCTACCTCTGTCACGCTCATTCCTCTTCATTCGGGATATCTTTGTTTGCTGTTTACAACTGTGGTTTTCTTGATCTTCGAGCTCTCCATTCGCGGACGCAATTCCCGTCGAAAGCGGTGAAATAAATCAATCAGACGAAATGCAATACGAGGATACGGCGGCTTTCTTCTGCGGAAGATTTATTTCCTTCCTTCCGGTGCAATTTACGTTTTCCAGCCGTGCCAGTATATTGCGATATTTTCAAGAAAACTCTGAAGTTTCCTCGTTCTTATTGCGCTATGAGTGTTCTGCGAATGTTCCGCGCTTTACACATGAGATGTTCGATAATGTACACGGCCGACAAACGCGACTTACATTTGACCGGAAGTGGCAACGATCTCTATGCTGTCAAAATTTAACTCGACATCTTGCTCGCAATTTATAAAGATATATTAAATACAAGAGTAATATTATTAGATACTTACAAAAATTTGTATGATATTAAAGCCATTTTTATTTATTAATAATAATGAGATGATATAACATTTTAATCAAAATATTGGCCGCTATCAATAATTTTTCGCTATCTTATACACTTTGCTATACATACACGTTTTTATACGAAAAATTTAAATATTAATATATTTTTAATGTCTAATTTTAATGAATTTTTGTTGGAACAATACAGAGATTTTGCTATATTAAAGCTACATTAACTTCTTAAAGGAGTCGTTTACTTTATCGTGTTATTTTTCAAGTGTTATTTACGAACTTTTCTTAGGAAAGTGGAAAAGTATTTTCTAAAATCTCTTGATGTCTGTTATGAAATAATATTTCAAGAAGAATTTTATTATTTTTATTTGTAAAAAACATTAATAATAATTGGTTGTCTCTCATTTGATTAATTGGATCTCCGATTGGTTTGCGGAATTCATTGGCTGCCACGATTCCGGGTCACCCAGTGAATTGAAATAGAAAAATAAGACGTCATTTAAATCAGAAGATTTGTGACTATCTAAATTAGAAAATTTCATTTTAGATTATAAGAGCAACAGATGACACTTGTTTGAACTAAAAAGTTCGATTTTTATTCTATTTTTTGTGTTCCAAAGCCTGAGAAAATCGTAAAAATACAGATAAAACTAGTAGTTCTAGTTGAAATCATAATTGGTCTAGCAATTTTCTCTGAATCGTGATAACTATTTCGGAAAAATGCGTTTCAAAAAAATCGAAAAGTTTAAAGTTTGCATTATAATCGAAAAGTTTAAAGTTTGCATTATAAGTTTAAAGTTTGCATTATAATTTTTACATGGATAACGATTGAATTAGGCAACTTACTGTTACTCATCTATTCTGGGATCATATAAAAAACCTTGCTGCTCTCTTCTCTCGGACTGTCGTTCTTGTTTTTTGCGTCTCCATGAATTTTCGAAACTCAAACAGACTAATTTGATTGTCGTCCCGCGCAGCTGCGAAATTTTGAGTTGAGAGGCCAAATTAAATTCCTATGATCTCCATAATTTTTAAAATGTTTTCAAAGCCATCATTAAAAATGTATGCAGCTAAACATGTGGTTACATGACGATAATTTGGCTGGAATGCAAGTGTATCGGTACAAATGTCCAAATCATGGAATTTAACGACTTATTATTTTATGTGTTGACTCCGAGGCATTTATGCATTAATTTATTATACGAAAAATCTTTGTAGATGGGCTTAATTTCTTATATAACTGGATTATCTAAAAATGGGTCATGTTTAAAAGTTTTAAGAGTTTCATCGGCCTCAACTTTGCGTCATCAGCTTCCCTTATAGAAAAGTATCACTGGCTGTGATAAATTGGTCAGTGATAAATTATTGTTGATCAGTAATTTTATTACTTCCACAAGTAATAAAATTATTGATCGACAATAATTTATCATTGACCAATTTATCACAGCCAGTGATACTTTTTTATAAAAGTTTCAGAACCTGAAGAACACCAATCGTGTTGGGGGGTTTTTGTTTGTCGAGCATTTATGATATGCTTTGAAAATGATCTGCTTTCAATTCCCAAATTTTCTCCTTCATATCTTTAATTGAGTTAGAATTTCTTTGAATAGTTAATTCAGAAATATAATATCAAGTCATTGATTACTTTATAAGTCAATTTTCCCGTGCCTTTGATGCCAAAATGTTTATTTCTATTTTTGCAGCGCGTATAGTCGTGCGCACATCCGTTTTTACATATGTCCCTAATTCTCTCTTTTGCACAATAACTTCATTACATAGGGTTTCGCATTTAAAATTTCTAAAGGTTAGGCGCTTTGAACTACGAGCGCATTCAAATAGCGCGCTGACGGCTGTGTGGTGAGTGGTTCTCGCTGCTGTAGCCCCGACAATATTCGGAATTTTCGGAAATAACTTTGTAAGCATATTCTACACACTATAAGGATCGAAAATATGTAAAAAAAAAATCAAAAATTTTTTGACCCGACAAAGTTGACGACCTTAATTCGCAAAATGTGCAAATTTCGCTTTCGAAAATAATCTTTTATCGATGTATGATATAAATAGAAAAAAGGTAAAGACGCAAAAGTCGCTCATTCATCTTTCGTATGCTTTTGAATCGAAGCCGTATCCGAAGATCGTAACCGTATCGGTAAAATGAAATATTTCCCGCTGTTTAGTATCTCTATATTTAGAAATAGTCAAGCAAATGGAGTGGCCGAAGGACAACACGCGAGAGCCAACAGGGTCAGCTGTCCCGCTGCGAAAGATTCACGATCTTCCTTCGAAAGAACCTCTTTCACGTCCTTCTTCAACATACCGTGGCTCTTACCTCGGCTCGTATATCGTCCTATAAAATCCGGCCAGTCTGCCGCCTATCCTTCCTCCCACTTTCTTTTGTGCAGCTAGAATGCTTTCAGTCGAATAATTAACTTACAAAACTTCTGTCAAAAGTGGTGGTAACGACGAAAGTTTGAGCGTTATATATAATTCCTTTCTTTCATCGGTATACGAAGAAACTCGCGCGACGTAATAATAATATCTCGCCAAGTAAGCTTGGAATTGTTCGCAGAATACCAGACATGACGGGGTGCGCGAAATCGCGGCGGTATGCGGTGTTATATCACCGCGAGCGATTTCTTAACCGGCTAATGGAATTCCGGACGGCAGCTCAGGTCTCGCATTTCGAAGTTTAAACAGTTTAATATTTGCCCCGTTTTGCGTGTGGACCGACCTTTAACTACGAGTTAACTGCGCTTTGGTGCATCGCGTGGGCGCAACGGGATACAGAGGCGTGCGACGTGATGTGTATAACACCCACCTCTCGCGAAGATTCACGATTCACTCTTGAAACAGCCCTCTCGTAATCTCTCCCGATCCCACGCTGCCGGCGAAGATTTAAATTTCAGCATTTCCATCCGGTGACCTCTTGATCTCTCCCTTCCTCTCTCTCTCTCTCTCTCTCTCTCTCTCTCTCTCTCTCTTGCTCCCTTGATAGAGGAGCTCATCAAAAATTCATAAGCACGTCGAGCAGACTTTAAAAATGTAAACACTTTAATACCATGTCCGAGAGAACATTTTCAGCGAATCTGGCCGCATGACCAAGCAGAGGGTTAAATAGTCGCGATTCACATCGGGATTCGTATTGTCCATCGATTCTCAATTTAATTATTTCGCGCGTGCATCTGTAATTGATAAAATGAGCGTTTTTAACAACTCGGTCTGTATCCCGACAATTGCACAAATTGCTACTCGACACATCGAGTGTCGACAATTTTGTGCTTTGACCGAAGTGAGTACTCCGCATGCATTAAATAAAGATTCTTTAAATATTAGATGAAAATTTCACTTGTGCGATCATTTCTCTTTGAGAGAAAAAATACACAGAAAAATACTTATTCGATACTACTAATAAAATACTTAATTGTACGTATATTTTTACATTGAGAAAAATTTTATTTCCAAATGAGAGAATATATTTTTCTTCCTAAATGAGAGGGCATATGTATTTTTTTAAAACCACGGCGCTTCATGTGAGCAATTGTTTATCCGATTAAAGTGAAGGAATTTAAATTTAAGTAAATATGTTATTAGTATCTATCGCGGATATAAACATTTTCTATTTTTTAGATATTTTTAGATATTTCTTTCCTCAGCGTATATATATACTCGTTTGTAGAATGGTTCGAACATGTTTTTCTCAGCGCACTTCGAAACGCAGCTGATATCTGAGAATTTGTTTTTGAGCAATGTTCATAAGATACATTTTTTCATTGGATGCGTTTACAAAATATGTAAAAAGATGCGCTCACACCAACCGTGCTGCAAACAAGAACGTGTAAACGTACCTATTTTAGGACTTTAATTATATCGTTGTTCTTTCTCATTCCGGCTCTTCGATTCTTTTTTCTTTCCTGCCGTAATTCAATTCGAACTCGCTCGCGAGTTGTAGCTGTAATCGGTTTATCGCGTAACTTCCCGTTCAACGGAAAAATTAAATTTTTTTATCCTCCCGCAGGTTTTCACTGGCGCGGCAACATGTTTCTACGCCTTCATAGGCTTTGACATAATAGCCACTACTGGCGAGGAGGCGACGAACCCGAAGAGGAGTATCCCTCTCGCTATAGTCTCGTCGTTGATCATAATTCTCGTCGCTTACGTCACCAGCAGCATGGTGTTGACACTGATTGGTGAGTAGACCATTAACAATGGTCGTCAGTCATTGTTCATGCTTCATTAGTCGAAATGCATTTACGTGACTCGTGATAGTTGTCCGCACATCCGGACGGTTTAATGCCCCCCCCCCCTCTCTCTCACCCCTCCTCCTTCTCTCTCTCTCTCTCCCTCTCTCTCTTTCTCTTTGAATTCATCGTTGCGAAACGTAGATATGTGCATTTTCGCGCTCGCCCGCGAAATTCGGACATAACTATTGTCACACGCAACCGACGGTAAGCGATTTGAAAGCTATCTAATCTTTATGCGTATTTGATGACACACGTCCGAATGGCTATCCAAGTCGAATTCCAACACGCCCGGACTGGAATCTCACGATTTCATGCGTAATATCTCGAATAGATTTTCAGCGTTATCACGATGTGAGTCGATCATAGAACTACTATTACTATTTTTTACTTACGTACACGGAAAAGAAGGTTTGGTTGAATTAACCAAATATCTGGTCGAATATGAACAATCCAGAAATTCCGATTGAAGTAACCCGAATTCTGTTTAAGCCAACCAAAAATCTTGTTAACTTAAACAGAATTCGGGTTACTTCAATCGGAATTTCTGGATCGTTCATATTCGACCAGATATTTGGTTAATTCAACCAAATCTTTTTTTCCGTGTACTATTATTTTTAACTTACATGTCTTTTTCGCATTGGGGTTGTTTTAGTCCTCGCTTATTTCAAAATTTTGCTGTAATCAGTAAAATCTCGCTGAAAGAATCGGTTAATAGTAATCATTGTTTCTATTATAGATGCAGTTTGCAAACATAGACAGTGTTATTGCATGCCAATCGTAGGGAAGCTGGTAATTACACCGCCGCAAACGCATATAATTGAATATGGCATAACGTATAACAAATTTGTACAGATTTTGCAGTGTAATCTTACTTCCAATGGTCAAAATCAGCGAGATATAAAATGGAGTAACAAAGTGGGTGTTTCCACTGAAATAAATATTCACTGATTATCGGTGAAAAACTTTATTTTTTACTGATCAAATTTATAATATTAAATATAATATTTAATTTGTAATATTTAATAATAAATATTCTTATTAATTCATTTCATTCATTTTAAAAAAGTATATTTCTAGTAGTATAGGAATAGAGAGAGACTGTCAATAAGATCTGTCTTGCTAAGGAAAGAGATAAGGAATTTTTTCAGTTTTGCTAGAAACATAACAAATTTTTCAATAGCATATTTCAGTTCCTAAAATAAATATAAATAGTACGTAAATGAAGGAATAGTCAATTACTGTAGAATGTCGATCTATTTCTCCGTTATAAAAAATTCTATAGTAATTTTTATTATATTTATTATTAAAGCTATTGCCAAATTTATACTTGTCTATCTGGTGGCATTCTGGGTTATTTGAGATATGCAATGGGAATTGCGCTGAGATCAAATTATTACGCAATCGCTATTTTTTATAACACGTATTTCGGGATTAAAACTGTTGATGTATTTTCGAATGTAATAATCGCTGCGTATTGTGCCCGATACGCGTGCCGTCGCTGTTGTTGTATTTCGTGCAGAATCAATACTGTCGTTGCGTCGTTGCCAGCAAAAGCGAAACGTCCCGACCTCGAATTTGTGTGGAATCAGCGGCGGCTTGCGAGAACGCGGAAAGGGATGTTTCCCGTCACGTACTCGTCCCACTTCGTGTTTCAGTTCCGTACGACCAAGTCGATCAGGACTCGGCATTGGTGGAGATGTTCGGTCAAGTCGGGGCCTACAAGTGCAAATACATCGTCGCGGTCGGCGCGCTAGCGGGCCTGACGGTCTCCATGTTCGGCAGCATGTTTCCGATGCCTAGGATAGTTTATGCGATGGCACAGGACGGCCTTATATTTCGGTAATGAGCAGTACGGAGCATAGTTGTCGAGAAGTCGGATAAGGTAGTGGAGAAAGGGAGATCGTTGGGGACGATTGAGTAGTCGCTTTAAAAGGGGTTACAAGACTCTGACAGGAGTAAAAATTTAGTAAAATTTAGGAAATTGTAAAAAATGGTAAGTTAATAGAAGTATGAATTTCTTGTTATATATGTCAATTTAGTATATTTAGTTATATCTTGATATAAAAAGATTAAATTTTTTGATGAATGTTTATCAATTATTTCAATTTTGTTTTATAAGGAATCATGCTTTAACAATAACCATCCTGGCTTCAACAAGAGAGTGATCTGAAATCAGTGTGAATACATTTTTCTTTTATTCAATAGCCTTAATTATCAGTCCGGAACGGATTTTAGAAAATCAAATTTAATCTTTTCAGTGAAAAACTTAAGTTTATAAAATAAATAAATGAAGAATAACTTTGAAATTTGCAGGAAGTCTCAACAGACAACTATAATATATAAACATTCGTATCAAACAAGTTAATCGAGTAAACCGTTCTCAAGTTATCTTAGTTACAGTTAAAAGAAATGCTATTTTGAGAATAACGCGTTTAAAGTTTTATATATATAACGAATTCTTTTTAAATTTTTTTAACTAAGATATTGTTAAATATACTTAATAAGCATATATAACAAAAAATTCAGATTGCTATTAATTTACAACTGTTTACAACTCTTTTTCTCTTTTTACTCCTGTCAGGGTCCCGTAACCCCTTAATGAACGAGGCATATTTTGCTTGTGCAGGAGCCTCAGCCAAGTTTGGCCGGCGACAGGTACGCCTGCACTCGCGACTCTCACATCCGGCATGTGTGCTGCCTTCGCTGCACTGCTGATCCAGCTGGAGGTGTTGGTGGAAATGATGTCGATCGGTAAGATACTACGTGCTGCGATATCCCGGTGCCAGTCTGATCGCGAGCAATCTAACGTAAACGTGCGCGTCCTCCATACTGAAAGTTCTTCGTACACTCGCTTGTGAGACGATTTGAATAGATTTCAGTGAAATTAGAGTGCGCCAAATGGTCACAATTGCGAAGCACTGCCATAGATTTATATGTAACATATATATAATATAATTTCATTAATTTAATTATATTATAATATATTACATTTAGTCTAAATATTTAAAGAAGCGAGAGCCTATGAGAGCTAAGAGCTAGGAGAAGGTGTGTGCAAAATCATAAGTATACAATTTATTTTACAATTATATTATTAATCGCAAACGTTTCGATCCTACATATTGAATTCTTTTCAAATCATAAATTTAAACCTTTGTGGGGTACAATTATTAAGCAACAATTAAACTCCGAATGTTAGTTTTGTTGTATGCAGTTTGGTCTCATTTACGCAATATCCTTATTGGAGGAAAAGCAACTTTGTGACGGTAGTGAAATATATCTCTTGTGGAGTTAGTATCTGATACTGATAGAAACGAATAAACAATTCTCGAATTCCCGCCAAATACATGCTTTATCTCGCAATCATCATTGCAAGAAAGTGAAAAACGGAATTATCTACGCGGCCTATGTATGACTCACAGCGAGTTTTCTTGATCTCGCAACCGATTGAGATCGCGCAAAACTATTGGGTTGATTCATAAGTTCGTGCGAATGTTTGTCTAATTGACGCATATGGTTATATATTCGCATATTGTTATTAGGAAGATAGTTCTGTGCAGTTCTTTTTTTGTCATTTATGTACATGCTTTGATAGCTGACATTTCAGAACATAATTTGTGATGTAAGTGATAATGTTTAAAGAAGTACAGTTATCTTTGTTGCAAGTTGAGAACACAGAGAACACATAAGTTACAGATAAGATAGTAATAAGTTTTTCCTATGCATTATGTATTTTACATCCGTAAAAATTCTTAGAGTTTGGCCTGGATGTTTCACTTCACTTACTATATATATCTGACATTGCTCCCTCCGATTATCATCTGTCTCGCTTATAAAACTCCCTTAAGGGGACGCTGGAGTTGATAACGAACTCAAATAATGTCGATAATGCAGAGACGATCGTCACTAACATAATCATGCTATCCTTTTTGTATTTCTTGTATATACAGAACTTACATGAATGTGTATGATTTTATTTTACTATATTCAACGGAAAACTTAACCATATATGTGTAGGAATCTTTCTGCAAACTTTTTCGATATTCTTAAGCTTTCAAATGCAGATGCAAAGGTAGAGCGATGTTCTTCAAAATTGTTCTGTTTGGAGCACCCACACTTTCAGTATGTACAAGCTGCGGAACTTTTGGATTAGACAAATATTACGCTGACATTTTAAGATTTTACATTAAAAATTTTTTATTCATTTTTGTCACATATCGAGCAATGCTCCTATTTATTTTTGCACGTACTTTCATTGCGTAAAAGCATTTGTAATTCTGTGCAACCATCACGACGTAAACTTTGCAGAAAAATGTCAATGTTCTGTAAAGTTTTCAGCTTCAGCATCCTCTTAACGGTATAAACTTCTTTGAAAAATGTGAAAAATCACTTGGAGCGTTTCTTTGCCGGAAAAGCACAAGAGTTTTACGAAAGTGGTATTATGAAATTACGTGAAAGATGACAAAAGAGAGATTGTCGAACAGAATGGCGCATATATTATTGATTAATATCATTTTTAACAAGAATAAAATGCATTTGAACTTTGTTTAAAATCCACACGAACTTATGAATTATAATAGAATTACCTAAATATTTAGAAGAACGAGCGATAATTACATACATATATTTATATACATTTGAATATAAACAAGATATTTAATCATACAACTGTAAAATGTCTGCGTTTAGAAATCTGGTGATCATCCGAACCGATTACGTGACTATAAAACGAAAAAGAAATTTTACAACTCCCTATCGATATTCGATATCAAATACTGCCAAACTCATATTTTTTTAAAGTTCACATCGCCATTCCGATCTTTAATCTGTTCATGCCTCTGAATTTTCTTAGAAGAAATATATTTCATATTGAGATGATTATAAAAGTTTTTGAGAACACTAATTTTAAATTTACTATTAAAATTTCAATCCGAAATGAGATTCAAAATGGCCATGAAAAACTTAATTATTGATATATTTAACATATGCACTTGAATCAGGTTTCTTCTGATCACTAATTGCACAAATAGAACGTAAAAAAATTAAATTTATGATAATAAATATCAGATAGTGACTCTACAAGGAACTTTTAAATAAATTTTAGATAAAAATCTTACATCCATACATGCTATTGTCGATAATATAGTTATGCAGTTATATAACTTTTATAAGTAACAATCTTAATTGCCAACAAAAGGCGATCCTTTCTTTTATAAGTTCGCTGAGCGAGATTGAGAAAGGACGTTGCCAGCATGCTAGTTAAAAGTTAGATTTTTTTAAAAGTTTAGATATAATTATATTTTATTGAAAATATTAAATTTAAAAGTATATTCACTTTTTACATTTACACTTTTACAAAAGTTTAGATATAATTATATTTTATTAAAAATATTAAATTTAAAAGTATATTCACTTTTTACATGTAGATTTAATCTACCTCTTTAAAACAAGTCAAGGTAGAAATTGATAGAACTATTACAAATATGATTTTTTTCGCAAATGGAACATATACGTGCCGGAAGTATAAAAGGGTGAACTTGTGTCACCTATGACTACCTCCTCTAAAGATTCCTTCACCAAATAATATTCTTCCAATCAGTGCAATATGTAGAATATATTTTTTTCTCCACCCACTGTCCTAACAGAAAAAAAATTTTAAATTTCTTTTGTTTTCTTCCTTTTACACATCAGTGGATATTATCTTCATCCCACCTTCATTACATTTAACAAATCAGACACAGATTGTTTAATTTCAAAAACTCCAAGTTGAAACTTACTTTTAAAATTACTTGCTTTTTTGTGGCCCTCTAAAAAATCACTTATTTCTGATTGTCTGACCAGGTTCTCCTTTCTGAACAGTTAAACTTTCGGCTCTTAAATTCTTATATATTACTACCCAATTTTTCTATTTTAAAATCTTGTCTCTTTATACGAATTTGATTCGCGAAATATCTTTAAAGTGCACATCGAACGAAAAAAGACCCACAGCCAACAGCTGTATTTACAGATCAGTTTTTACAGACCAGAGAATCCAACAATCATAAAATTCATTCTGTTTTGCTTTTTTATCCAACACTAGTAAATACCTTACTACTTCTCTTCATTAATTCTCTATTCGTTATTTCGCTTATTTTGGCCCACATTGAGTTATTCTCTTATTTTCCTTATCTTATATTTTTCTCAATTCCCCTTTTTATCTCTCTCTCTTTTTACCTTTTAATTTTATTTTATATTCCTATTTATTTAACTCAATTTCTCTACTCCATCTTCTTAGTGCGTCGTCAACTGTTACGCACGGGTCGACATTGATCTCCCAGTTCATTTAATGTTCACACACAGACACACACTACATATGCGCTCCGCGAGTTTCTTCCGTTTTATAAATTATGCATTTCGTGTTTTGTGTAATTATAATAAAGTAGCATTTTATAATCTTATTATATGTATAAACCGGTATTTCTTCCTTTTATTTATAGTCCATATGTTATCTTAATATTTTCAGTTAAATAAAAATTCTTCTTTTATTTATGTTTACTTCACAAAATAATAAAAATTACTTGCGTTACATTGCCACCACTTTTCCCTCGCTTATCCATTCCCCGGTAAAGGGATTAAGTTCTCTAACCGAAAATCAGACCACTGTGGCCGTGAATATATACGCAGTATTTGCGAACACGAGCATGATTGTTGCACTTTCCCATCGCAAAGGTGTCACGTAGCACATAAAATATAATGTAATTCCAATTTGGATTTGCTACTTTAAAATACTAATAGCTGTATATGCTAGCTAGATTATATATTTTAGAATATATAACGCCATTTACTCCATCATATTTGACGTACAACTGCTACACAACGGCTAGATCACAAAACCAATTCTATATCTCAGTGAATGATCGAGCTGAAAATTTTAATCTAGCCTACAATAGGTAGCTATTAGCTTCTGATTCAGACCGGCTACATTTCTTGTCGCCAGTGGCTCGCAATTGTGACCAACCGATTCTAATCTTACATGTGAAAAAATATGTTCAAACTAGAGGTGATCCCATTTGGTATGTTCGAAGCGTGGCTATAATTCGACATTTAAAGTTGAAGTTCCCAATTTGAATAATTCGAAGATTCGAAATATAAAAGCTCTTGATGAAACTAATTTTGGATAGTGTTTCGAAAAAAATACTCGTATTTTTTCGAAGTTCGCTGTATTCAGACGTTCAAATATTCAAATATTCATATTTTGGAAATTTTATTTGTTATTCGAATATAATTTCTCGAAGCTTCAGAAATGCGAAGTTTCTGGTTCAAATCCTTTTGCAAGTTTATATTCAGAACAGAAATTAGCAGAAAGAACTAAGATGTACAGTTAGTGGATAAATGGTTGCGACACTTTTACCTCGATAAGTTTCGCAATGGCGCATCTCGTATCCAATAAAAAAAATATATCTTCTGAGAATTACTAGAAAACAAATTGGATACGGGACGCGTTGCGGAACTTATCGAGGTGAAAGTATTGCAATCTTTTATCCAGTGATTGTAGCCGTGGCAGCTAACATGTTTCTTTAAAACAAGGATTGTTAATGTCGCTGCTATTGAAGGTTAATTTATTAACTGCTCGAACTTGAACGCTACGGCGCAAAATATTCTCTGCAAGAAGCAGAAATAACGATTTAATACATGTATGTGATAAGATATTTAGAACTGACTGTCACTCTCTTAGCTACATGAGCTAATGTCTGCTTTAAGGGTCATTTAGCAATTATATCATGTGAAAAAGACCGATCAAGCTCTTGTAAACTTTTAGCCGCATTTTGTTCGAAATCTTAAATTATATTTTTATGAAGTTGTGGTTATTTGTGGATAGATTAAAAATATAAATAAGTATTAAAGTAATACGTCTCACTATTTGGGACAAAATGGCCTAAAAAGAATTTATTTAAAGAAAGCTAATATATGGTGCTTCTGACAGTCCATAAAAGAATTTTATTAGAATATTGGTAAGGTTTTCTACAGTTTCCTTTATTCATTCAACAAATGTTAGCATTCATAATGTTGGTAATAATTGCAGAAGCACTAAGGATGATTTTTACTAAGTTTCGATTAATTTAATCGTCGATTACTTACGTTGCGATCAGTAAATATCTATTGGCCAATTTTGCTAGTTACAAAGGAATTATAATTCATTTATAATTCATATTATTTTATTGATGAATCATCTCTCTCCTATTTCTTGCAACATTCCCTATACATTTCCTGTAAAAATCCAAACGTTATCATTTATTTAGACAATTTGTATCTTTTTAGGCTATTTTCTGCCAAATGGTGAGAACCCCACTTTGATATTTGTATATTTTTAATCCACTCTATATTATTCCACTTTATATAATTCCACTGAATATAATTACAATTTAATAAAAAATAATTTAAGATTTTGAATGCTACAAAAAGGAACTAAAATCGATACTCTTTGAATATTTTTTATCACTCCGCCTGCTCTTTTTCATTACACTTTATCACAAAATTAGAACTTCCTTCCAATATTACGTAATATATGTGGAATTGTCCTTCCCTTTCCCTATAGAATAAGAAAAAAAGCTTAGAATCATATTATGAGTAATAATTATTAGATTGTGCTACTATCTTTTCTAAAACAAATAACTTTTAGACATAATATAAAATTACTTATATTTAATTTATATAATTTTTATTAGTAAAAGTTGTGTTACTAAAAAAATAAACATTTTAAAATTAAAATTTTTATTATTAACACAAAATAAATTATTTTTATAGAATATATTTAGATATAAAAAAAACTTAGGTACAGAATACATGATGTTTCATAGCCTTTAATCCTTCCGTTGTTTTTCTCTTTTTACGAATACAAGTTGCTTGACAAATATATTTTTGTCCGTCTGTATAATTCTTACGTGTAATTTTCATGTAAGGCAGTTAGAGAAGTCTCAATGTTAGTAACTTATTTTTATTCGCAAAAAAATCAATAAATAAAAATAAATAATTGGATCACCACTTAAGCTTTTGTATGGAATTTAACGCGGCAATAAACATTGCTCAATCATTGTCAATCATTACTCTGGAATACTGAAATTTTTAAGCTTTGTCGTTGAATATTTTTTAAAAACCGACAATAATGTCGGTTCTCAATAATGGAACATCGTCTGATTTGGACTTTTTCACTTGTAATGCATAACACTGATCATATCGGGTAGATTTTTATCCTCGCGAAAATCCTAGGAGGCGCGTATTTCGGGTTTCGCGTGCGACTTTCGGCCGTCAGAATCGAATCGTGAATCCGAGCGGTTTTACACACTTGACATTTCCATTCGCAACCGCCATCACGTGGAATCGCAGGTACCTTGTTGGCGTACACCCTGGTGTCCACCTGCGTGCTGATACTGCGGTATCAGCCGCACTCGACGAATTTAGTCGAGCTGCTGCCGCAAAGCCTCAGGACACCATGTCGATCGCCCACTAAGGAGACGCAAGGGAACGGTCAAGTAGCTTACGGCAAGGAGCTCAGGCCCGATCAGCTTACGACCGCGTTGAACTCGGTCCAGACGGCCCAGTCGGAGCTTACGGCCACCAACAACGGACAGCGCATCACGGTGAGACGTGTTCGCAAAGACAGTAAATCCCTTTTTTTCTTCCTATTCTTTTCCTTTCCCCGTTGTACCATCGCCCGTGCGTATTTCACGGTATTTCCACCGCGCGAGAAAATGAAATTTTCTCCCATCCCCCAAGTTTATTAATTATAAATATTTACTCGTATTTTCTCTTTCTCTCTTTCTTTATTTTTCTCCCTTTCTTTCTCTTTGTTAATCCTTCGTTTCGTTAATCCTTCCCTTTGCAGATATACTGAGACAGCGAGTCGTGTTCAGAACATTGCTTTCGGGAGATTTCTGTCTCCTCGATAATTAGTTGGCTGCGTTTAGTAGAACGAAGCGTTCAGCAAGCGCTTATCGATTATTAGAAGTGGTTGGAATTTTTAGAGAGAGATCTATAATTAATCTGCACAGAGAGATCGGTTCTTTTTATTTTTTTTATTTAATTAAATTTAGAGAAATTTATCTATTGGAATAATTCAAATAAATAAATTTTTTATTTAACAAATACCATTGTATGGTTTTTCAAGTAATATTATTATTTGGCTCAAATAATTCATTGTTTAATGTAAAGTAGAAAATTATTTTGTTTAATTTTTTCATTTTATTAAAAAAGCTCGATAATTCTGTTTAAATTTGGAGAAATTTGACATTTTTTCTTCGCATTTTTGACGGCCTGCCTTTTTATTACTTCATTATATGCGCTCTTCTTTTGGCTTTCCATTGAAATACTCCATTGTTCCGTGATGCAGTCACCTATTCTTTTACTGATCACAGTTTGGATTGCTTGACTTCAACAAGCATATAGGAATTAGTAATGCCAACTAGTTCTAATGACATAAGATTATGCTTACAATATATCCTTATATTTAAATCTTTTCATACTATACTTATCGTTGTAATAAAAGTTTTATTAGAAATGGCTGCTTCTTATAGTGTTGTGATAAAAATAGTGCTAATTTCGTGTTTGAAATGAATCCAGCGTTAGTTATCTTGGACCACGTGAATGTATAAAATTTGAATGTGATTTATTAAAAAAATATTAAGAAAATCGTTTTTTCAAAACATTGCAATAGTCAATATATAGGGTGTCCCGAATAAGATGTACCAAAAGAAAAATATAAGTAGAACAAATAAAAGTGAAACATAGGTCGAAGTCATTTTTCGAACAACCACGTAAAATTTCGAGTTATTAAATAAAATAGATGAGCTAATCAAAGCGCGCCGGCGAAAAAATGGCCGCTTGCCCTATACATTAGTTGAAAATCAAATTATTCTCTTTAAATATTATTTTTTCCCTTAAACAACACATGGCTTAGTCTAATAAAAACAAATAATACTTGACATAAAATTATATTGTTTATGTTTAACAAATTCAAATTAACCAAATAGGAAAATTTGCAAAGAGACCGTTCTCTCTGTTTAAAAAAATTATTTCAGTGAATACGTAAATACGCGCGTTTATTCGATCTTATGTTTTCTTGTAGACTGTAGTGACTTTCTCTCAAAATTTGTTGAAATGAAATTTTATTAAAAACTTTCAGTAAAAAAAATTCTTCTTGAAGCGTTCGTGAATATACTGCTATTCTGAATCACGCAAGAGTAAATATTTATTTTAATCCTTGAGTGAATTTTTTATCTATACGCATGAATATTTCAATCAATTAAAAAGTAAATTTGTTCTAGTGACAGTGAAATGTTTCAGATATTTCTCAATTTCGAATGAAAATATTCACTCGACTTTCGAAGTAGAGGATTTACTTGATATGAATGAAAAGTTATTTAAATTCTAGTTACTTTTAGCTGTCACTTTATTTTTAGTGAAATTTGAATCCAAGAAATTTATAGAGTAGGGCGAAATAAATAATAATAGAAATTCTTCCACGAAATTAAAAGTTATTATACATAAAAAAACCCCATTCTTTTTAATAATAATGTAACACTTTTTTCTTTATCCAATCTTATTGAATTAATTTGTTAATAAGTTTGTGGTATTGCGAAGAGTACTGCCTCAGCCTGGAAACTTTTGCCTAATCAAGATTAACAATTCATCATCGTTGACCTTTTCGCTATTATGCGTCATTAAGCAGCTTCCAGCTAAATGACTTTTCAGAAACGTCACGTACAGTGAACTAGTCTCTAAAACTTGCATTGAGAATTAACCGACAGTTTGTTGTTACGACTCAACAGCTTGTACATGTTTTTTTTAATATCATTAATGCAAATTTCATAAATTTATTAGTTATTGTGTCATACTAGCGCAGATATAATGAATTACACTATTCAAAGTATCAAATGCACTGCTATAATCCGTTACGCGCTTCCAGAGGCAAAATTGTACGTACAATCAGATGATTAAAGGTCGCAATATTTTTTGAAGTTTCGCAATGCATCCCATATTCAATAAGAGAATGTATCTCCTGAGACTTATTTAAAAAATTAATTCTCCTATTGAATACGGGATACACATTACGAAACTCATCGAAGGGAAATGCTGCAACTTTTAATCATCTGTCTGTACAGAAGTAAAATTCTATGTCGAGCTTAACTCTAGTTAAAGGGTTAAGACTTTTTCAAGCTTTCAATTTCGAACGTTATTTAGGTTTCCCGTTCCTCTTCGAATATCTTTCTCGTCATTGCGTTGACGAGACAGACCAAATCGTGCACGTTCGGCGTGTCGAAGTAGAGCGCTACAGTTTAGTGTGCGACGAAGTGGCATTCACCGTTGCAGGTACGCCGGGTGAGGAGGTGCAACAGCTCCTCGCCGGACTCGGACGACACGTATGGCGGCGAGGAAGACGAGGTGGGATTGGGTAAGGACGATCAGTATCTCGTCAGTGACAGAACGGAGAATAAGTTCTACGGCAGCGTGCATGCGGCCGCGGCCGCCTCGAGTTGTGGTAGCGCTCATCAGTATCCCGGAAACACACCGATTATCGGGCCGCCGTTGAATTATCTACAGCGTCGGCTGCAGGTAGTAATTCACGAGATTGAAATCGGGAGTCTCGGTGGAATAAGGGTCTCCGTGTTAGCTGTGGCAAACCCTTAGAAGCACAACATTTCGTTGAAATATAGAAGAGTTAAAAGGCACATTGAGAAAGAAAATAATTAAAAATTAAGAAATATTTTTATTATGCGGGGAGGGCCATTAACATATTTACTTAATTCAAAATTCTTTTCATTTTCTTTATTTAAACTGAATATTGTTTAGTAAAACCGAGTAATTACGCGGTTTAAATGAAAATAATTTTAATTTAAATAAATATGTTAATAATACTCACTTAATAAATATTTCTTAATTTTTTAATATTTTTTTCTTAGCGCGTAATGGGTCGCCGAGCATAATGAGGTATCGTCGATAACTTTTTTAAGATATATTGCCATGTAATAAAACGTTTTTAATTATTACTCCTCATATGTTTCTTATTGCGTACTATTATCGACAGTCGTCAATATTTTTCATCGAAAGAGTCTGGGTATTGTTTAATGCGTTTGATTTGTTCTCCGCAATTACGTCGAAATTTATTTGATATCTGAATAAGGCAACAATAATAAAATTCTATTTTTTACGTACTGTGCGTAAATTTACGTTATTAAATAATCTTTTCTCGTCATCTTAATTCTCGTCATTTTAATTAAATACTTGTGCAAGTATCGACTATTTATAATGCTTTATGCTACATAATTAAGACTCCTAGTTCTTCGTTATGTAAGTCTCGATTGATGACGTCAGAGGCGAGAAAATACACGATAAAAATTCTTGCAAAACACGATGAAATAAAAAGATATACCCAAGTAGGAATCGTATACGTTTCGCCAATACGGAAAAATGGCTTGATACCAGGTTGATACCGAAAAACGGATATCCGGTTTTGGTACTGGCTCAGTACTGGGCCTAATATAAAAAAGCTGTATTATTGGTAGTGACTCCGTACTGAGGTTAGGTACTGGATAGTCGTACCGTACGTATATTGGAGAGTTACCGAAAAGTGTCTGTCGTTTTCGATATTGGCCCAGTATTAAAAAAGCTGTATTATTGGTCCTGTTCATAGAATTAGTACTGGATATCCAAGTAAAAATCGTAGAATTAGTACTGGATATCCAAGTAAAAATCGTATACAATCTGCTAATAGAAGATATTGAGTCAGTATTGTGCCGAAAAACGGACGATACCAATGTTCTTTATGGGAAAACGGAAGAAATCACACGAAACTTAGATAGCTCAGTGGTAAGAACGTTTGTCTGACGAGCGGAAGACTCGAGTTCGATTCCAACCGTCGCTCCGGAGATTTTTCCTTATATGACTATTAAAAATAGACCTAGTACTCTCGTATAAGTACAAGAGCAACCCCGACCATGGTCTGATCTTTCTTTCCATACTATATAGTTGTGATATTAACAATTGTACAAATAATAAAAATTACTAGGAATTGGAACTTCCCCAGTACTAAGAATCAATACTTTTTTTTATACTGGTACAGTACTGATTTTCGGTACTGTGACAATACTGGCCCTTTTCTATCATCTCAGTATCACACCAATACGAAACCCGTACTGGCATCTGGTACTATGTCAGTAACGTTTACCATAAATCGGTACTGGGCCATTTTGATGCCAGTAGTAAATTCCTACTTGGGTACTTATAAAATGACACTTTCTTTTTCTTTTATTCTTTAAAGAGATTAAGTAATGTCTTCAGAAAAAACTGATACATTTACAAACAATTTCGTCCTTTTTAATCATTTACGGTTTCCATTATACTCTAGATTTTCCTCTGAGGATACTCATAAGTAATTAAATATTTTTAAATGAAACACCCCAGGCAGCACAGGCGTCCTAAGACATAAAGACAGATCCTCAGAACATCCACAAGTCCCTTGGAGTTGTGTGCTGTTTGGGACATTTAGCAGTCTATATGAATAAAGTTTTTATTAAGAACATATATATATATATAACGGATGCTAAGAGTCAGATGGTAAGTCTAATTAGCATATATTTACAATATAGTGTACGTACGCGCAGATATTAACTTTAAATTAATTAACTTTAAATATTGGAGAACGCTTCTTAAAGCTCATATTTCTTAATTAATAATATAAGAAGTTTATTTAATTATTATTTAATTAATTATTAATAATAATAATAATTAATAGCAACAATTAACAGTAAAATTATTAGTAGAAATATTAATAGTAGAAGAATATTTTTTTAACTCAAACAGCACACATACACACACTAAGAAAATATTTTACAGATATAATCTCCCCTCGCTTAACATCTAATCTATCAATGTTTTTCCGAACTTTGTATTACTTAATTAGTGTGACTCATAGAATGTATTAATTTTTTTTCCGTAGGGTTAAAAGAAAAATGAATTGATGTTCATTTTATTTAAAATTTAAAACATTGGATAATTCTGTTTATCTTTTTGACAAACATGACAAACCTTTGGACCAACCCAACAAAAACAAATACGAGCAAGAGTTTTGTAAACATTTGCAAATATCTTATATATACTTATAGGTACATTTATATAATTTCATGCCCAAGCGCGAATATTTTTGCTTTGTGAGTGGAAATCTCATCTCGCAGCTATTTGTTAGCTTCACTATTTTATTGGACAATATTTTGTATCACAGATCTTTATTTCGCCGAGCTCCTGGATCGATTCCATAACACAGAGATATTTGTAATGTAGAAAATGTATATATAATTATCGAGAAAAAAATTTTCTTCTCCTCCCTTTTTTAATAAATAATGATACTTTTTTTAGGCGGCGCAATATCTTTGTCCGGCTATATTCCCGTGGGTGGATAGAGGTCCCGCGACAGAAGCATCAGGACGTTACGTGATGAAACTTGTTGGGATCTTATACTTATTGATCCTTATCTTCGACCTGATTATCGTCTGTGGAATGGGTGAGGAAAATTCCCACTGTCTCTCCTTAGATTCGTAAAAGAATTAATATACCTCTTCTCATCGTATTTCTAATCTTCGTCTATCTTCTTCCTCCTTTAGGGAATATGGGAACATTCACAACGATACTACTGTTCGTTTTTCTTTTCGCCATAATCGGCGTACTTCTCGCCATTAGTAGAAAGCCGCAAAATAGGTATGACACTACTCAGTCATTAGCGTTTCGCGATTATGTAATTCGCGAATCACGACGCGCGATCCCAATCGTGAAATAGTTCAACGAATTAATCGTGGATTTCCGTGTGTTCTCCTTTTAGAAATAACATGATGTTCATGACTCCAGGCTTGCCGTTCGTCCCCGCGATTGCCGTTACCGTCAATATCTATCTCATCTTCAAGCTCAGCATTCTGACCCTAGTCCGGTTCACTGTCTGGATGGTTCTCGGTATGAGTTGACAATTTTTGCACTTTCAAAATTTAGAGTAATTAACACACGTTCACGTAACACCGACGTCCAAATTATTCCAGTAACATTATTTGCATTAAAAATTAAAAGTTACTTATCAGATAACTTGTATTTGGCTTTTATACGTTTTTGATTGTGTAGATATAAGAATTTTTATTCTTTTTTCAATTATATTTCAAATTACAAAATTTTATATTTATTTTATATTTTATTTCAGTAATTTATCGGGAAGTAGATTAGATATTTTATAGTATTAGTAAGTAAAATTTTATTTTACTTGAAGTAAATTTATAAAATAATTTTTATCCGAATGACAGGAATGCCTGCAATTAGAAATTCTCACTTTTCAAATACAAATTTTTATATTTATCTTATATTTCATTTTAGTAAATTATTTAAATACATTTTATATTTCACTTAAGTAAAATGTTATTTTATTTAAGTAAACTTAATTTTATTTAAGTAAAGTATTATTTTATTATTAACTTTCTAGAATACCACGTCCAAATGTTACTTCAAGTAAAATACTAACTATATTCATTGTATTGTTGAAACGCTTATCGCTTCTATATAATGAAAGGTAGGGAATCAGAATTGTGGAAAGAAAGAATATTTATCTTTCCTTTACAACTGCCCATGCTATGCAGCTTTATTTGTTGTTTAGCAAATGTAAGAGAGACACCATTAACGTCAGTTTTGACCTTAAAATTCTTCATGTTAAAATAATATATATATATATATATATATGTATATATATATTTTTTTTAATTATTGTTTTATATATTTTTTTAAAAAGGTATATCTTCCACATCTTTAACAAATGATAATTTGTTTTATATAATACGATATTATAAAAAAAATTAAAAATTTTTAAACAAATAGCATTTTTGTGATTGTAAACAAAATTTTTATTTGTTCTTTTTGTAAAATTAGCTTTTCTTTATAAAACCTCATAAATTATAATTAATGATATAGGCGTATTATTGACACTTTTTATAAAACTTTTCTAAGTTTTAATTTAAGTGCAAAATGGAATAAAAATTTTTATGCGGAAAAAATTGGTCGAAATTTGGTCGCATTTTTTATAAGTAAAAGTTAAGTAAAATTTATTTATATAAATTTAGTTTATATAAATAAATTCTTTAAATACTTTTTTTACATTTTATTTAAGTAAATTTTCATTTCAAGTAAATTTTTACTTAAATAAAGTGAATTTATACGTAAATAAATGTCACTGAAATAAAAATCAAAATAATTTTTACTCAATCGACACGCTCCTGATTAGAAATTCTCACCTTCCATTTTCTTTCTCGAATACTAACAAGAGCAATTACTACAGCGAGTCCTCATATCCTTCTAGGTTTCATCATGTACTTCTATTATGGCATCAAGCACAGCAGCTTGGAGGAAGCGAACGTGTCAGAGAACGTTGACGACGGCGTCGTCGGCGGCACGGCAGGCAACATCGAGCTGACCGTGACTGACCACCAGCAGGTCCAACAGAAGCTCTACGTGACGCCCGACCGCAGCATCTACGAGGGCCAACAGTTGGACGCGTTCGGCCAGCCGGTCTTTGGCAGCACGAACTTCGGCGGCACGCCGAACCAGCACGCCGCTCATCAGCAGCAACAGCAGAAGCAGCATCAGAGGCAGCAGGCGGCGGGCCAAACGACGACGGGCCTGTTCGTTGAACAGGAGAACTTCCCCACCTGGGATGATTGAGAGCGGCGTGGCGCAGCACCGAGCAGATATTAACGTATACACGAATAGAGAGATACTACAACGCCTGACACGTTCGTGCGCGCGACTGGCATCGGACGATTACCGATGAAACCAGACCCTTCGGAGATCGTACGCTTTAGGGAAGAGGGGCAGGGGGAGGGGAGGGCAGGGGGCCAGGTCGAGGACGGGCTGCGTGGTCGTGGAGCCGTGGTCGACGAACATGGACGAACGGACAATCAAGGGTGGAGCACGCTCGATCTGGATAATGTGAGGACGCTCGAGATCAGTCGGAGGGCCACTCTTAGAAACAGTCGCTTCACCGTTGACCGGATGTTAAATGGATTATCCGGCGGATCTCGTCAAACGGAACTTGTCGGAAGTTGTCGGGAAAGAGGAGGAGGAGCGAGTTTGTGTCGAGATCGAAATCAAACATCGCTCCGCGAAACTGGCCGCCGATCCGTCGGACGTTCTCTCCCCTTTTTTAGACGTCCTTTCGGCGCATCTCGCACTTTGGTCTTGCTTGAAAAAGGTACGCAAAAACTTGTGCTAGTATCTCCGTAATTTCATTAACGAGTCGAGGGAGCTCGGCAAGTAAGTTTATTGTCCATTTACATTTCTCGTCTACTCATTAATCCCGACTGAGTTTTGCGCTAGTTTCGCGAGTCTGCGCAAATACTCGGAACGAAGTTTGGCCGCTTCACGAAGACGCTGCCGCTACTCCTGCTGCCCGCCCTCGATCTTGCGTCTCTCGCAAAGCGCGCACGTCGAAAGATCATTAAAAAAATTTGATCAATGTGACTTTACAGGGAAGGGGGGGGGGAGGGAGGGAGAAGTGGTTGATCGTTATCCGCGATTCTCCGAGGGTCGAACTTGTTGACTACTATTTGGGACAAATGTAGCAAATAATTTTGCGGCAATATTTATTATCCTAGTTATATAGTACCGTCGTTGACGAAGTCGCAGAATGAGTTGCGGCGATGGAGGTAGGTGGAAAGCGAAAGAGGCTGAAGGGAGGACGATGGACGCGCGGGGAAAGGGGAAAGTCGATGGGAGAAGATGAAGAGACCATTAACATTAATAGTATAAGGCGAAACTTGTGTTTTCCAAGAGAGCGTTCTAACTGCTAATATAAGTTCAAATTTATCGCTAGTTCGTGAATGATGAACGAATGTAAGACGTGAATGACAGTGTTGTCGGAGCAAAAGAGTGACTGAAGAACATATGTGAGAGAAAAAGAGAGCGCGAGAGAGAGAGAGAGAGAGAGAGAGAGAGAGAGGGAGAAAGAGAAAGAGAGCGCAAGTAATAGAAAAGACACAAAAAAAAGAAAAGAACGAGACAAAGTAGGGAGTGGAATAAGGTGTGCCTGAAAAAGCAGTGAAAATGCAGAGAGAGAGAGAGAGAGGGGGAGGGGAGAAAGAGAAAGAGGAAGAGAGAATGTTTGAGCGAATAGAAAAGAACATTTTAAAAACAAAACACTTGAAAAACAAAAAAAATGAGACGTCATCTTGCCTAACTTTAGTCTTTCCCAGAAAAGAAAAAAAGAAGTTTAGTCTAACATATATTATAATCGTATATCTAAGCTTACTACAATACTTACATACGTCTTACCTCGAGTAAATCCTTTGATTATTAATTTACACGCAAATTTGTATAAATTATCTAGGACTTAAGCGCGTCGCCTCCCAACGGACGAAGGATTCATGTGAGTACGACTAATTCGGTTTGAGACGGCTCACATCGCGAAGAGAAGGGGTAGACGTGTTAAAAAGGGGATTGACCAGAGAATTTCTTTCGCGAGAAGTTGCGGCGCTTTAAACACGAGAATAATCAGTCATCGAGACTTCGAATGAAATTGTCAAACTTTCTCCCACGCGCTCCTGGTGTTACTTATTTTGAAAGTTGCAGAAACGAATTGCTTACGCAGAAAATTAAGGTGTGTATATGTGCATATATATATATATATATATATATATATATATATATATAT